AAAAAGTTGAGAGACAGTTAGGATTAGAATATTTTGTTCCTTCAAGGAAGGTCACATTGGAGGATGTTATATACCATTGGTTGTGATCAGAATGGGAAAAAATAAGGTCAGAAGAGGAGTATTTTCCACCTCTTTTTGGAGGGTTTGATACCCCAGTGGAAAGAGAAAGACAGAGAGAAGGCCAGGAGTGATTATGGACGATTATGTTGGAGGGTGTGATATCTCAGTGGGGAATGTAATGAGAAAAACAGAAGACATGAGAACATTAGAGGTCTTATGTCAGTCTTCTGTGCCTATTTTAGCATTTGGGGGGCCGGGTTTGCCTTTGCTGTTGGCACACGTTTGTGTAGAAAATGAATTTGAGTGCTCTGGGGATTTTTTTATGAACATATACAAATATAAGCCTTGTACGGGTGTTGAGTGATCATCTACCAAAGCCAACAGTGGTTGAGTTAATGACTCAGAAGTACCGCCAATAGCACTCATTTAAAAAGTATTTCAACCCCAGCGACGGCACAGCACTCTTCCGGCTGGCTGTATTCATCACAAAAACCCGTGAATTCAGCCAGCTGCTCAGGCCTTTCACGCCCAAGAGGTATCGGCATACACCATGATCTCACTATGATCTGTACAAACAACCAAGGGCTTTTCTCAACCTTTAATGTGTCATGTTCAGGACAGTAAAATTCAAAATACCGCATGAATTTGGTTTTTGTTAGGATGGTGCCCTGAAGAGCTAGAAGTTTAATGTGGGGGGGAGGGTATTTTATTGTAACTTTTTTTTTGAAGTCTCCAAGTTTTTAAACTAACGTTTTATATCAGGGGTCGACAAACTTTTCTACATTAAGTGTAAATTCACAGGCATTAGAAAACTGATGTGACAGTGAACAAGAACATGCCTTATACCTCAGAAATCAGCCCCAATTCCTGCACCTTCACACCTCAGATCACCCCAATTCCTGCACCTTCACACCTCAGATCACCCCAATTCCTGCACCTTCACACCTCAGATCACCCCAATTCCTGCACCTTCACACCTCAGATCACCCCAATTCCTGCACCTTCACACCTCAGATCACACTAATTCCTGCACCTTCACACCTCAGATCACCCCAATTCCTGCCCCTTCACCCCTCAGATCACCCCAATTCCTGCACCTTCACCCCTCAGATCACCCCAATTCCTACACCTTCACACCTCAGATCACCCCAATTCCTGCCCGTTTACACCTCAGATCACCCCAATTCCTGCACCTTCACCCCTCAAATAACCCCAATTCCTGCAACCCTCTCCCCTGAGATAACCCCAATTCATGCACCTTCACACCTGAGATCAGCCACAATTCCTGCTTCATCACCCCTCAGATCAACTGAATTCCTGCAACTTCACCCCTCAGATAACCCCAATTCCTGCACCTTCACACCTCAGATCAGCCCAATTCCTGCACCTTCACCTCTCAGATCATCCCCAATTCCTGCACCTTCACCCCTCAGATTAGCCCAATTCCTGCCCCTTCACATCTCAGATCAGCCCCTATTCCCCACCGTTAGAAACACATGGATCTTATATTTATACTTGCTACAACTGGTTGTTCCTCTAGTGAAAGGAAGGTGGTAGCTAGGCTTCTTCGCATAAAAACCTCTACAGCCACAGATGGGGCTACACTAATACTGGGAGGAGGGCCGGCATCTAAACTTCAGTGACACCAGCTAAGTCTCTCTGAAAAGTTTTGGAAGTGGTTGGGCTGCCGGTCACAGAGAGGCAGACTAGGCTTTGTAAGTGATAGTCTATTGAATGCTGTATTTGTAGGGAGTAGGGGCCCACAAGAAGGTCCTCTGGCATGGCAAGCATGAGCGCTTTCCATGTGACGATCGCCTGGGTGCAACTGAAAATAAATTGCATGCTCGACCTGGCACGGGAGCCTTAGGTTACCTATCTCTGTTTTATATCATTTTAATTATCTGCATAAAACTTACTTATCAAATAAACACTTTATCCATGGTGCACACCTGGCACTCTGTTTTCTAGGGCTGATGTGGCCGTTTGAGATAAAAAAGAACAAAATAGAAGTCATTTAAAGTGCGTGTATCACCTAAACATTAGTCTTAGTTTATAGGGTAGGGACGGGTTAAATCTGCCATCAATTTATGTTTTGCCATCTGTGTCCCTTTACTTCCTGTTGCAATAGAACAAGAGAGGAAATCTTCAGAAAGTAAAGGGACATCTTCTCTTAGATAGTTGTCACCAGAACAAGTGTTCCTATTACCCCTAACCCCTCAATCTGGTGAAGGCAGTACAATTTTGGACTTCATATCACTTTCTGTCTCGTTGATGATGATGATGATGATCACCAGGACAAACAGAAAGGCAGAATCTCCCCAGCACAGACACAGACAGCAATAGAAACCTAAAATGTAGACATATATTGAATGGATGTCAGACCAAATAGGTGAAAAAAGTTCAAAGAGTCTTTAAAATTAATTGCACCAAAGTTTTCCAAGCAATCTCACTGGCCTGGTAAGTCGGCTACAACAGCATAACAGGTTTCCCTAGGTGGGTACCCAGAAGCAACTTATAATGTAGACATATATTTAATGGGCTCCAGGCACCAGGGAAATGGTCCAAAGAGTCATTAATAATTCAATCACAGAGGAAAAACAGCTCATGTACTTCAGGGGCAACAACATTCCCCTTTCATCAGTGCTCTTACTTGCAGTGGTTTAAATTCTCCAATTGGACTGTAGTTACATAACATGATGGGCAACAGCTGGCTGGTAACAATATGCAACTGCAGTCCACGGGGAGATTTCAAACCACAGCAAATAAGAGCCCTGATCAAGGGGTTATGTTGTTGCCCCTGAAACACGTTGGCTATTTTTCTTCTGTGATGGAATCATTAAAGACCCTTTGGACCTTTTCACCTATTTGGTCTTCAATATATGCCTACATTCTAAGTCAAGGGAGACCTGTTATGCTGTTGCAGCCGCCTCACCAGGTCAGTGAGCTTTCTTGGAAAACCTTGGAGCAATTAATCTTTTGAAGGAGTATTGAGATCCCAGCGCCTCGATTTGGAGCAATATAAAACCTGACAGAGGTTCGAACCTTTCCCCACGCTATCTAAAAGGCATTTTGGCTATACATGTACCCTAAATGCTTCTGACTGCTATTTCTCTGGTCCTGATGGCTCTAAATATCCCCCCTCAAATTTCCATACCAGGGTCGGGAAGTCTAGATCGTACTGTAAAGTATCTTTCCTTCATGCTCTCCTCAGTGCCATCGCTCTCCTCATGCTTTGAGGAGAGCGATGGCACTTTTCGAATTAGCAATAACAGCATGTCCAGAGCGAGCGGCCTATTGATTAGGGTGACAGGTAATGTCAGCCTATGGTTCTTCGCTATGTAAAAAAAGTCCAGGTTAGCAAGGCTTTCGGGGCATGTATAATTACGTGTGCTGTGGGCTTTGCTAATTAGGTGACTATGGAAATGGAAATTCACCATTAAAAGTTCAATCGTGTTTTCTGCTGTGACTAATTTTCGGAAAATGATTTTTTTTTGTGTACGTTTATTTGATTTCCAGGTGAGGACGGTTTCAGTTTCTGAATCGTTTTGATGAGGAGAATAGGAATGGATATATTGTATTGGCAGAGCCTTAGCTCATCCCGAGTACTTGGATTTTTTTATACAGTATAACACACGCAAGAAATGCTCAGGATGATCTCGTCTTTATTTGAAGTTCTTATTTGAATAAAGTGTAAAGTTTATGTAAATCCCAACAATCTTCTTTTATTTCCTTCCTTTTGGTCTGTTAATTATACCATCAAAAGTGTTTTGTTCAATTGGCACAAAACCAAAAGAAAACCTGTTGATCTGCCAGGCATGCAGTGAGCTAATAACTTCCTGGGCATTCTGTCTGTGTTGTACTGAAATCTCAGTCTGTTTTATCAGCCCTTCCCAGTTCATCTCTGTGGATTACACACCACCTCCCTCCTATTTTACGAAGATGAGCAAAAGCGGTGTTCTGTGACACTAACGCACTTCCTGTCCTACCATGACAACATTCACTTAGAGTACTGTATCTGTAGAGGTGCAGTGTTGTCAACCTAGGATTGAAACTAGGGATAAGGAGAAGGGGATGTGTTTTGTAGTCCTAACACAGCCCCTGTCATAGAGTAACTATGTTCTCCTAATGGACTGTATTTATGGAGGAGCAGCTTTGACGTCACTGGTTGCCACGAGCTGGGTGGGATGCCGGCCAGAGCATCACAACTTGCCAAGAACACTAAGCAACCTGGGGTGCACTGGCCTCCCCCACGTGACCCAATGAGATGCCCCCTGAGGCAACCACCCCAGGCCGCCTCATTTTAGGGACGACCCTGCTAACACATCATTACATAAATGCCGCTCAGTGCTAGGCTGCCGGAGGAAGTAGAGGAAGCCGCTGTGACATCACCAGACCAGGTAGAAGATAGCAGGAAATAGGTATGTAGAGTTCAGAGCTTAAGGAAGGGGAAAGAGTGTCAAAATGCCCCGAGTTCCACTTTTGTTTACTGCTTGTTCAGAATTTGTTGATACTTTGGTGTGCATGACCTGGGGATCCAGGTGGAGTTTCACAAGGATAACCAAACCCAAGAACAAAAATGTAATTTTTTTATTGCTATTGCATATTCCAGCTTCCGAGTCCTTAGATATAATGGCTGCATTCGTCTTCTTTGTTTCAGGCAATGAACAGTCCTCATCTAAGGACTGGGAAGCGGCCAAATATGACATTTTTGTTTTTGGGTTTGGATACACTTTAAATTATATTGCCATATTCTTCATTTTCTTCAGCATCTAGAACCAGTAAACTCAAGGACCAAGAGCTTTCCACCATGTAGATCATGAGATTGTCTACTCTGAACTTTGCAAATTAGAACCAAACTTTGATGGGCCTGAAAGGCACCTTATTGAAGCTGTTAGAAATGTGTCAGACTCTTTATGACCGTGTGTTCTCTGCTCCTTTAGGAATTCGGCCTGTTGTATGAAGAAGCCAAATACTACCAGCTGCTCCCGATGGTGAAGGAGCTTGAGCGATGGAAACAGGACAAGGAGCACCGGAAGCACTTCCAGCCTTGTGACTGTCTCGTGGTGCGGGTGACTCCAGACCTTGGCGAGAGGATTGCGCTGAGTGGGGAAAAGGCTTTAATAGAGGAAATCTTCCCGGAGACCGGCGATGTCATGTGCAACTCGGTAAACGCTGGGTGGAACCAAGACCCTACCCACGTCATCAGGTTTCCACTAAATGGCTATTGCAGATTAAACTCCGTTCAGGTATTCCTACATTCTTCCTGTTTGTCGTAATGCATAATGGGCCTGATTGATCAATCCGCTATAGCATTCATTGATTGCTTAAGTTGCTTTTGAAGCAATATTATCGCATTTGACAGGTCGCTTTAGCACCCACTAAATACTATTGCAGCTCGATATATCAGGGCCAATATCTGTATTAATGTATAACTGATAATGTCATCATTCATTATGGGGATTTGCGGGGTGAGGACCTGTGCACAGAGATATCTTTTACTTCATTTCTTGATTCATTTTAGTTATTTTTTTTTCTTTTAAAATGCAGGAATACTTCTGCAGATCAAAGCAAGTCTTCTCTTATTTGCTAGATAGTCCATATATACACTATATCACTTAAAGCATTTTGGGCACCTGACCATCACACCAAAATGAGCTTGTTGAACATTACGAAACCACGCCATTAATAAGGAGTTCCCCCACTCATCCTATGGTCATTAATATGGAGTTGTTCCTCCCCCGATGGCCATTACTATTGGGTTGTCCTCCTCCTCCCTCTTTGCCATTAATATGGAGTTGTTCCTCCCCAGATGGCCAATACTAA